ATAAAAAATGTCAGGCATGTATGTTAAAACAGCCTATTTCTTTTTGTGTGGATGACAATAGCATTCAGTCAGATTTATGCCCAGAAATTCATGAGATCTCTGTAAAGAAATGTGTAGCCACTACCTGGCTCTTCCCTCTTGGATAGAGCCCCCTTGTCCCCTGGAGCATTGATCCTAGCAGTGCTAAAAGGGAGATGCTTCTGTGGAATGCAAAGGATGAGGAAGGAGCCCTCTTGGTCCAGCCTTCCCTTCTGGGTCCCGTAGCAGCCAGGGGCTGGTTTGTCTCTTACTCCTTGCAGCAAGCAGATGAGAATGTTTAACACTGTTAATGTTTAATAAGGACAAGTGTAAGGAATGCTTAACAGTGAAAAGCTTGACTAGACTTGAATAAAAATTTCTCCCCGTTTGTACGGGGAGCAGGATTTCTGCATGACTTGGTCTTGTTGTCACAGGAAATGATAGAGCTCCGTGCATATTAGCTGTGATCTTTGCCTAAGTAAACTTGAAATAATGTCTCACAGAATCGTGCTGGTATTTGTAATAATTGAGATCATATGTATAGCTGACTGACAGCCAGATTTCTTGCTCTGTGTCTCCATGGATGTACGTGCACACATTCCAGGAGTCTCTTTGCATTAGATTGCTGTCATATTATTATGATTCAGGTGGGATGGTCCACAGAATAAGAATAAACTGAGCAAAAGCCACATAGCTCAAATTCCTCTGCAGGTAATGGAGAGAAAGGGTTGTCGGATAATGCGACAAGTCTTACGTGCAGAGGGAAGCCCAAGTATCTCCACTGACTGCATAGGAGTCACAGCAATCCTGTGGTTGACTGGGGAATGTAACCGTTGTGTATTAAAGGATGAGAGTGAGAAAGAAGAGCCACAGGAAGACATTAGGCTTTTTATCCTTGAACGGTTACCCGTGTTCTACATGCCTTCTGCTGCTTTGCTCAATCAACTGTAAATGACTCGGGTGACGTGGCTTTCACCCCTCTTTCTTGGTTGATGCTCAGAAGGTCTGGGGACTTTTCTGGAGTCATTAGAGAAACATTTCCACAGCATGGAAACTACATGCAAAACCTTCCACACCTCTTAGGGCCTCTTGTGAGACCGTGCTGGGTAAACGGAGAGTGGCAGGAAGCCCTGGAAGGGGTCATGTAGAGTACTGAGTTGGCAGCTGCCCAAGAAAAAGCCAGAAATCTCATATCTCACCACTAAACGCATTTTACACCATGTCTAGGCCAAAAATATAAGAACCTCACCCTGCAGAGTAATGGATATACGGAGAATGCCTGGAGCCCCATGCTTTTCCTTCAATTGTGAGCGTTGATTTTTCTTTCAAATCACTTACGTGGCTATACTGAATTTGGGGTGAGTGATGAAAATTTAATCTGTATTAAACAAGCTTCTTTAACCTGGCAGGTAAATGAATGCATTATTAATGCAATCTCATGTATTTCCTTAATGTGCGTGCTTTATAATAGAAGCATTTAATTTTTTTCCAAGTTTTGTTATCCAGCCTTGTATAAAAATATTCTGTTTGGTTGCACCAGTCACATTTTGTTAAGCAATCTAACACGATCTGACTTTGAGGCATTTCAGTGGATAATATGATAAAAATTGTTTCTTTTAAAGAAAAAAGTATAACCAAAACACAAGAATGAGCATTACAAAAATTGTGACGTGCTGAGAGAAAAGCCCCACAGATACAAAATGATAAAGGTCAGGACATGTTACTCAAGTCTTGTCTGCAAGTAAAAATACCATCCTAACGTGTGGCTGTCAAAAACCTACGCGAGCCAGACAGACTTCTGACAAATAATTTTGACAGTTCTCATAAGCTAAAAAGTGCCTTTTTTGCCTCTCTTGTCTTTTGAAATGTTTCCCTCCTGCTTACAGATGTGCAGAGAGAAAGAAAGTTAACAGCGGCATTAAAACAACAGGGTACTGTTAAAAATAACCTGTACCAAGCACTGTCTTTTGTGTGCTCTCTAGGGGATGCGTTAACTGTCGGTACTCTAACTTACTAACTCACCTCCCCGAATCTGCAATATACAAAATTATTTGCTTCTCATTTGCAAACATTTTTCTCCATATATTATTAAGCAAATTAAGAGATGTTCCCTGTTGTTTTCCTGTCTTGGGCAGAATTTCATTCTAGTCTAAAGGAGACTTTGGTGAAGGTAAGCAGAATGAAGAGTTGAATACTTTGTAGAGCCAAAAATGCATTCCCTTCTGCAATTTTTTTGGTAAAAAGTAAAAAAAAAAAAAAAAAAGAGAGCTTTTGAAATGTTTCAGCAATGCAAAAGAGAAATGAAGTGAATTACAAAAACATGGCTTGGTTTTGGTAGCGGTGTGGCAAGGTGTCCTGGCCTTAGGTAGAACATCTGGCCAGAAAGCCAGACCTTAAAATACCCAGTGCTCAGGGCACTGTAGAGTTTGGAACCTGCTTGTATGAGAACAGGGATGGTGACCAAATCACCTATATCCTAGAAAAAAAAAATCAAAGCCTCATATTTTTCAGGTTGAAACTCTTGATTTCTTGGCCGCTCTCAGGAAGCATCCCTGCAGATGTGCATGATAGATTGTGCAGCTGGACAACACCATGAGATTCAAATGAGAACTGAGCTCGTTCATTGAATTACTTGTGTACTGAAGCGAAGGAAATAAATACTTCTCTTGTTTATGTAAATCAGACTGTGCCTTTGGCATAAGGCTATGATTTTATCTTTATGTTATCACTGTTATCCTGCAGCAAAATCTTTGAACCCTTCTCCATACAAAAGGGCCTAACAGTTGCAACAATGCTATCCAGCTTTCTATTAAGAATTGGTATCCTGTATAAATAGGATCTTGCACTGTAAAGCTGGCAGAGCTTAGCCTTAAGGAAACTATATTTTTCAATTCAAATATATCCATATTCTTGTTTGCTTACACGGAGCCTGTTCAGTGGGGAATTATCTTGTTAAGATCTAATCGTATACAGTGTATGTGTGGTGTAAATATATGGCCATTTAAAATTCAAATACAGGATGTGGAGGTCATTGTAGGAACCTTCTGTGCCTCAGCAAGTGTGAATGAATTACCAGGCTGCTTTCATTCTTTCCTCACTGTTCACATTACTATTTGCAGCTGGGAGCTATGCCATAAGTTACCTTTATATTAGCATTGAAAATTCCAAGGCTTTAAAAACAAAATATTATTTCTTCTTTTACTCCCAGTTTTATTTGTAGGCCATAAAAACATACAATGTGTCTGTTGATCAGAAGCTGGTTGAGATGTTAGAAATTTGGTAAGCTAAATTGCATTTGGTGTAGTGTGGCTCAGAAAAGAGAGAACCTGGGGATTTACTGGTCCCTGACCTCTGTGGAATGACTGGTTATTTTTATGTTGCCCATCAGACTTGTGCCAGGTGGCTGTGGTGCTTGGATGGGTGGAGAGGATCTTGCAAGGCTGTGCAGCTGGTGTTTTTAGCAGCGGCGCTGCGATATCTGTGGCGAGCTGTAGGCGTAGGTAAAGCAAGCGGCTGGTCAGGACAGGAAGGTGCTGGGGGTGGTGAAGCAGCCGCAGCCCTCAGAGGTCCGAGAAGCAGCTCGGCGGCTGCTGCTGGGGGTAGCAATCACGAGTCTCAGGCGGCAAAAATGGCAGCTCCCAGGAGCCCCAATTTCTACCTACCCTTGCCCTCCTGGGCAGCAGACCTGGCTCTCTAGGGGTACCTGTCTTTAGCTCTTTGCCTTCTTTTTCTTATGGCAGGAACAGCAAAACCCACTCCAGGTCTTGGTGCCTCATCCCTGGGGGAGCCAAATTCAGGTTTGCTTGCAGTGCTGAGATGCTCTGAGCTGCCTTGCTCTGAACACGTTGGTCCCCACAGCAGCTCTGGCAATAGGGGTGCAGGGGAGACCCCCTTCCCGTTCCCCGAAACATCTCTCCCACCTCTTCCCCTTGCTCCTGCACAGCCTGGCCTGGGGAGGGCTCTTCACCTGGATGTCCACGTGGAAGAGTTTTAAAACTCTTTCAAAACATTCGAAAGAAAGATTTTATTGCAGTAACTTATCTCCTGGTGGTGAGGTCATTCTCTAGGGGGGTTGGAAACATTGTCTGGTGTAGCTAATTGGATATTGTAGCTAAGCTGCTGGATAAAAACCCCCAAAGTTCCTGAGCTCTCGTGGTAAAACCTACACACTCCTTCCAAATTCCCAATGCTGCTGCTGTCAAGGAATGGGTATCACACAAGGGAACTCTTTGGTCGGTCTCAAAGGGAGGTTGTTTATTCCTTCTACAAAGTCCGTGAAAGAGCTTTTCCAACAGTGTAAGCGGCTGTAGTTCTGGGTCCCTGGTTACTCCACTTGCATTTTTTCTTTGCTTGATTCCTGTTTGGCATTGCAATGCCCACCTGGTTCACTTAAGAGTGGCATAAATTCATGTGTAAGTTTATTAACAGTGCCACCACATTTTCTGATAAAAGAAAGGGGAAGTGTAATGCCAGCTGGTTAACGTGTTTAGGTAAGTTCATGTGACAGCTGTACCTGCTCATACTAACGTCAGTTTTTTTCCCCCCTTCACCCTGAAAATTTTGAATGGTCCTGATTTTGCTTTAATGTTGTCTGTATCCAGTATTTTACACTAAGGGCAAGACACAGGCAAGCATGCAAAATTGATGTTTTCACTTCTTGCCAGATTTTCTAACTAAAAAAGATTTCCTCCTGGCAGTTCTATCTCCAGATATTACCACCCCATCTTCTAAAATTGTAAAAGCCCCTGTATATTTGATATGTTGTGGACTCTCACCAGGTTTCAAAGGGAGATTATATTTGCTGGGCAGGTTGTCGATAGAACATAAAATATGAATGAAATTGTAATTTTATGGCAGATACCGTAGTTGTAACAGTCACAAGCACTCTATATCCTCAAGATCCAGATGAGGAAACAGTTTCTAAAAACATTTGATTGACTTTCTTCCAGTTAAGCCAGGAAAAAATCCTCAAAATTATGAACATGGTGAAAAATAAAGAAGTGAGCATTGAAGGAGCTTTGCATTTGGCACAGAAAGAGGTGTATACTGAAAAGGTAAGGTCACTCCTTTGATCTGTTTTGCAAGACATTCAAATGTATGGGCATGTTCTGGAAAGCCTGCTTGAGCGTTAGGACCATACCTGTATTGCTTTCAAAGACGCAGTCTCAACTTGTGCGAAAATATGCACTCCAGTTTATGACCAAATATGCCAGGTACTAATGGCTAATGCTACCTGTATCCTATGTAATGGATATCCCACGTAGATGCTGCAGCTACACTGATGTCGTTACCTAGATTAAGTAATTTAGATCAGATGTATCCATACATGTTTCCTTATTCCAAGTGCAGCATCAAGTACTGTGACAATAAATGTAGGGCAAAATCCTTGGGCTGATACCATGAAGCACCTCAGGAAAATGATGGATCTAATCTCTGAGGGGTCTCCTAGCACTGGGTTGTCCTTGGGACATGACTGGTCAGCAGAAGAGTGACCATAAATCAGTATTATGCATGGCCACAAGAACGACTGGCTACAAAGTGCAAAGCCTTGGCCAGTGTGACTTCAGTTCTAACAGTTCCTATGGTTGGTTCTGACCTTCCACCAGGTAAAAGTAGAATCAGTGTAAAGGTGGCTTAAAACCAGTTTTGGGTCCTACAACAACATAACTTTGCTGAGCATAGGTCAACAAGACCAAGAGGTTTAGTCCAGAGATTTCTTCAGGATCAGACTGAGACACAAAAATTTCATTTTTCTGTTGCTAAAGCCTTCATCTCTTCATGGACAATCAGAAGTGGATCATTAGCATCTTCCATTTTATAGAAAGCACGGAAATTTTTTCCTGAGAAAAGTAGTTGATAATGGTGAATGGAAGCAGTTTGAGAGTGAGGAGTATATTAATTGTGTATATTAGGGCATTGGCCTTGGACTCCTCTCTGTAATCCCTGTCTGGTATCTCGCTCATTGAAATCTCTGTCCACCACCTCCACAGAAGTGCCAGCAGAGAATTCTTTGGAGGAATTTTCAATATCTATTTCCCCTTCTGCTCTGGATTTTTGAGCCAGCCTCCCTGTGGAGCACCTCCAGGAAACAGTGAACTCTTATGATGTACTAATGACACAATCCAAAATTTTTTTTGCACTGCAGGAGCTGATAGCAATTCTGAGATAAACCTGGTGCTTTTTGGAATTTTTAAAAATAACTTTCTGAACTGCTTATTAACTTCTTGGCTGGAAAGAAGTAGAAGGAGAAGCAAAAATAAATACTAATAAAAAAGCAGCACAAGTTTTGCAGAAGGGTTGCAGTCAACAAAAATATTAAACTCAGCAGTGTAAGACTACATGGAAATATATTCTACTTCTGCTGCATTAAAGTTTTTGTGATAACTAATTATTAGAACTAAATCAAATTTAATATAGCTGGATAACAACCTTCCCTTCCCTGTATTTTCCTGAAGATTATACAATTAGTCATTTTCCATGCACACAGTATAGCTGCTGTAAGGGACCAGATAACAAATTGTATGCCTTCATATAATAAGAAGGAACAAAGATCTTCCATTTTACTGCACCGCATTCAAGGGCCTGTAAATATTTTTCTTTAAAGTCACATATGGTTCTTGTTTGCTACTTAGTCCATTTAATAAACGGCTTGTACTCGTGTTTTGAAACATGTTTAGTACAATTCCATGGGTTCTGCTCTTCCCCTTCCTGTCTTCCTGCTCTGCCTTTCACCTTCCATCCCAATCTGTGATCCCTTCATTAGTTCAGTAGGTGTTGCGGATATTTTGTGCTTGTGAAAAGATCAGGAGGCTGATTCCACGTATCTCCAGGCAGAGCTCTTCTGCAAAGCCTCCAGTGCTGTTTGAACACTGTTCTCTGAGGGAGTTGTCACCTGAGAACACGACTGGATCTGAGTGGACAAAAAATAACACTGTGGGCATATGGCTGATTTTTGCTCTGTTTTTCAGGATTCACAGGATTTGCTAACTGGCTCACAATTTAACTTCAGTATCTACAAATACAAACACTATCGGTGGCAGAAACGAATTTTGCAGGTAACTTCAAAAATTCTCACTTTTGAAGAAATATATACAAAATACAGAACGCTTATGTTGCTCAATAAATGTTATGAGATGGATTAATACACCCTGTGCTTCAGCAACTTATCAGAGATGCACAAAATATTGACCAACCTTTTACACCATAAGTATTCTGGGGGTAGGATCTCAAAATCCCTCTACTGAGCCCCTGGCAGGGCTGTAGAATGGACTTGATGATATAAGAGGTTATTTTCACCTCTATGCTATCCCAGAGGGGCTGCCACCATCCCTGCTGGGCTTGGCCTTGGACAGCAGCTGGTCCCTCTTGGAGCTGGCTGTCATGGGCTCCATCGGACACATGGGAAGCTTCTGCTGCTTCTCACAGAAGCCACCCCTGTAGCCCCCCGCTACCAAACCCTTGCCACGCAAACCCAATACAACATGCTAGAGGGTGGGTTTTTTTGTTGTTTCCTACATCTCAGTTGTAGAAAGGGTAATCTTCTTATTTCCCTCAATATCCACTGGGGTTTGCAATTAAAAGATTGATTATTTAGACATAAAGCTGATGGAAAATTGGAGAAAGCTATATTAGATGTTGAAGTTATCAGTTTGGGAATATGTAGTAGTTTAATTCCAGTTCTCTAGTTACCAACAGCCTTCGAAAGTCAGAGATAATTATGGGAATGGTTCTGCTTTGGAGATTTCCTGCTATAAACAGAACAGAGGGAGAGGCCACGGTGTTAGCATGTGGTTGGTGTGGTCTGCGCTATAGGAATGAAAGGTGCCAAGAATCATTTATGTCCAAAGGTAAATATCTAGCTCGGGTGAGATCTGAGACTCTTCTGAGTTTGTCTTCTCTGTGGGCCATGTTCACTGAAGCTGGGCAGTCAGATAGTATTCACATCTTATTGTATCAACAAAGCTGTTTCTGCTCAGCAGGGACTGACACATAGAAGAGATACTGGAATCTGTACCAGTTTTTAACACTGCAAATGTAGATTGTGCAGTGGAAGAAGAATAATCTTATTTTGGTGCAAACAATTTTTAATTGTTATAGCTGTGAAACAGCAATAAAATAACTTCATTGGCTATTATCATCGCTCCCTTCACCTATATGTACACATATATGTATATATATGCATAGAGACAAAAAATCTATGTTAGATAAGATCTAAACCAAAGCACAGTAATATTTATATTGGAAAATAATCTCTGAATACATCCTCTCTTCCTAACACAGAAGCGGCTGTTATAAAAATAACCACCTTCACTTCATTTTAGTATTGGGGCATAGGTTGAACAAGTTAGTAATTGAATCTCTGCTGAGATGGTCATGCCATTAGTTTGTGCTACCACTACTGCTGAATGGGAAGTTTTTGCACTGGATTGTATAAGGCAAGGAGAATTTTAAAAGAAATAATATTTCAGAGTGATAAATTGATGCATATTCATCAAGAGAGATAGGGAAACACAGTTACAATGAATATCTGTTTGTTTTGTAACTAAAACAAATATAGTACATTATCTTGATGATGGAATGTCACTTTTTATTCTATTCATCGGCAAGATGGAGACATATTCTAAGCTGGTCCTTTATTTAAATGCCCTTGCATGGTAATGCGGGGGATGCTGTCTTTCCCTTTCTGTAAAGAGAAGTGATGGAGTCAAGTAATGAAGAGCTCTCTATTCCAGATTGATTTCAACACAAAAACTATTTTTAACATTGAAAAAGGAATTATTAAGAAACAGTTCCCTTTCTCACAAGTCAAAGCCTGTGAAGATACTGAAAGGAGGCGCTTCAGCATTGTGTTTCATGGGCGACAAGATTATGAGCTGGAAGCAGTGTCTCTTGATGATAAAAGGAAGGTAAGTTTTTACAATGTCATAGACAGATTGCTATAAATAACAGCTAATGTTATGGTAGTACCCAGCAGGTCCCAATCATAAATGGGAATTGTTATGCTGTGCATTGTGCAAGCAAAGAAGTAGGTATGTCTTTATTCTGTGTATGTTCATGCATAGAACAAAGGGAACATGAGTTCAGGATAAAGTTTGGCCTTAGGATTTTGCCACAGTTCACTACGACTGAAGATGTAAAGCCAGTTCAAGACGTGATATGAAAGTGGATGCATTTCTGCAACTACACCTTGAATGTAACTGGTCTGAGACTGTATTAAAACAAGCAAACATAACTGATGATGTGCACAGCTGAATCTTAATTGAAATTTTCTAAGCAGTTTTTTTTTCCCCCCCTATATATATTTATTAAAATGCATGATTTTAAGAAGAATGAATGAGGCCATCCTGATAACGTGAAAAGAAGAAGACCTAGTAGTTAATCTTTTACCACCAAAACACACTGAAATTATAAAATTATCAGAGGATGACAGCCTAGGTACAACTAGATCTTTGTTTAATTAAATGTTGTAAGTATAATTAAGTGTTGCAAGATTTTGTATGAGCTGTTTCACTTTGAGGTCCCAGCTTCTCGTGCGTTCTAGGCTCAGTTAAATATTCCAAGTAGTTAGTGTAATTAGACTCTACACTGAAACTTGAGAAACTCAAGTTGTGATATTAGCACTAGCTTCTCACTTGAATGCAGATATCCTGTGTGTTCAGGGGTGATCAAGTCTTGGAGTTTGTGTGATCCCACTGCTGAGGTGCTGAAGCCAGCTGCACAATTTAGGTCAAGATACAAACTCTCAGAAAGTATGGATGAGCTTGTATCCAAACTTCTGATGTGACCCATTTTTAAGGGGCTTCTTGCAGCGGGTTTCATCCCTTGTGAAACTTAACGGTTCACTCCACGTGCAGGAACTTTTATTCCAGATGAACAGTACCTCACGGTTGATTAGCTCACTTTTCAAAATAGATTACATTTAGCAGAAGAGCTCAAAAAAAGCACGTGTGTTCTGGAGTAAGAACACTCAAATACGGCCCTGTATAACAAAAAGAGCAATTTAAATTCACACCCACCTTAATCCATGCTATTTTCAACTGTAGGCAAGCCTTCATTTTTCTATTGGGTTTGTTTGAGCTTTCAAGCTAAATCAATCAATTACTACTTAGGCTTGAACTGAGCTGAATAGAAACTTTGTCTTAGATTGCTTTGTATATGAATTAAAAAAAGTAAAATTATATTTTACAGTAACCCCTCCAGAATGAAATTATATTCTCCTTACACTGACAGGTTTAGAACTGTGGGCATAAAACCAAATTGCAGTTAAGTAGTTTAGCATCATAGAAAGACCCTATTTATTTTCTGTTAATTTATGTTACCTATTTGGCTGCTGCTTATAGTGTTGTCTATCATTTTTATACTTGAAAAATCCTCCTATTAATGTCTTATTCAAGGGAATTAACATGGAAAATATACTCTTTCTGCTGCTACTTATTATATAGATAGCATACCTTCTGAGCAGAGTTATACAGAGCAATTCATACAAGAGGCCGGCAGAGTCCTGCTCTGGAAGAGTTGCAGAATGTGATGTGATACATGAAGGACTGCTGGATTTGCAGCAAAACGGTTTTACATCCACTGAATGGGTGAAGTACGAACTGGACTTTCGTAGACCTCTGGGTTGTGGGTTTTGTTAAAATTTCTGATAAGAGCCTTAAGACTTTAACTTGCTGATAATAAGTTAATTACTTAATTGCTTTTTAAAGTTAAAACTGAGATGCCAAACCTGCATGAGATGAAAATATTGAAATTAACTGTTAGTGCAATAGTGGTACCCAACAAAATGAAGTTCTGTTGTGTGCTAGAGACTGCTGTGTGCATTACTAACACAAACACATCATGGTGATGGTGCTTGGAGTGATTTTAATGGGACTTCTTTATGTTTACCTCTTTACTTTTTACTCCATTTTCAGTCATAAGGAAAAAGAGAAAAAGACTGGCAAAGCAGATAAGGAGTATAGGAGTCCTGCTAGAGAACTGACTCACACCAGCCAAATGGCTGCCCCAAAATTTGTAATTCATTCTCGTAATGTTCTGAACCTCCCTCCTGTGGAGGTGATTAACCATAGTGGCCTAATGGGGTGGTGGTTTCATTATTCAGTCGGAAATGGACTGTCACCAGCATTTCATTCAGCCCCTAAACCATCCCAGATAAGCGTGGCTTCTGCTTCTTCTTCCTCTATTACTGAACGTGTGAATCAGCCACAATGATTTTACATAGTTCGCTAGCCATTCTACAGACAACCCACCCTTCCCCTGAGCCAGCTTCTAAAATAGCTGGAAATTGCTTATTCTATCAAAGGAGAGGAAGAGCGAGAGAGGGGGGAAAAAAAAAATCTGTCTCCCAAAAACTAATGAAAAAAAATGTAACATTGTTATTATCTGCACAGGGAAATTATCTCAGAAGACTTCACAGTTCACAGAAAATGATTTTAATTGTTTTTAAAAGGCTACCACTGTATGTCTTGTAAACGCTATCCTCAAGTGTGTCCCAGGATTTGTTACCTTGCAACATTTGACAAGTTTGTTAACAAACAAAAATTGATTTTTATTTATCTTGTGAAGCAAAGCCCTTGTTGCTTTCTTCTTGATATTAATCCTCTCTTTTTTTTTTTTTGGCAAAGTAAATAATGGTGGAAACATCTGGAGATCTGATTAAACTATAAGTCCCTGCATTAAAGAAAGGAGAGATCAATATAACTGCCGGCTCCATTAAACAATTCTTATCACTTTGACTGTTTATGTGGGAATAGATGCAATTTATATTTTATGTTTAATTCTTCTGGAGCAGCTAAACTTATTTAAATTCCTCATAGAACACCTTAATCAACCAGCCACACCTTGAAGAGGGAGTGGAGGAAAAGAAAGGTCTGATAGAACTGTCAGAATGATAAAGAAATGCAGTAACCCTCAAGAAAAATGAGAATGAAAATGCTTAAATAAGAATAAACCCCACATACAGTAAAGCCCCACCTGTTGTTGAACGTGGGGTCTTTGTTATAAGCAGCAGAGCAGAATCCTAGGAGAGAGACTGAAGCAGAACATTTTGCTCTAACAGAAGCTGCATATGGGCAGGCAATTTGTGCCAGGTTTAATTTATTATTTAAATAGGTCATACCCCCACAGTAATATCTGATTGAAGCCCTTGAGAGCAGAATACTTTGACCCCTTCCTGCCAAGTGGCTCGTGGGAATGAGCGGGGACCAGGATCAGTCCTCATGGAGTAAGAGCACATGCAAGAAGCATTTCCAAGAGAGGGAGAGTTATTGGACTATAAGACTGGGCACTAACTTATATTATGGTGACTTGTTTATAGCTCGGTGGCATTAAAACCTGGAAGACACAGAAACTCCAAAGCCTTGTCATACTGTGCGCTGCTCAGTCACACAGTGAATTCCTTTAAAAGCTTGTAGTCCAAAAGACCCACCATCGCAAACAAGTGAGGGGAATAGATAGAGTGGGAGGGACAGAGTGTAGCTAACCAATTAACAGGACTTGTGTGATTTTTAGTTGATAGTCAGATCTTAGTTTTAGTGCTCTCATTAGGCATGGCAGGCTGCAAGTCCATATTTTATGTCACGGTTTGCTTATGTGTCAGATGAGAATAAGAAGCCCTTATCTCAAAGATTTTATGCTTTGGTATTGATACATTTTGACTGTTCCATCAAAGATGCTATGAAGATGTGGAGACTTACTGACATTAGAAAACAGTTTAACAAAGGCAAGGCTTGTGTAAATAAGTAGTCAGTGAAGAATGAACTGTATCTCCATTCCTTGTCCTTCAGGTACTTGGTGCAACTACGTGAAGGAGAATTGACTTTATATTGCATAGGTCTGGGAGGAAAGAACAAGACTGCAGACCCTGTAACAAATACAATTAATTTGTCAGGTGGTAATGTGAGTGTCAGCAAGGAGAATGGATGCAGAACCTTTTCAGTTCAGACCAAAGAACACAATTATTTGTAAGTATAGTTGGTAATTAATAATTTGTTGAAGCAGAACTACTGAAAACAAGGTCAAGTAACAGAGAATCTCAATGTCCCATAACAAAATACAACAGGGGAGAAATGAGGCCATCAGAACTATATAGATTGCCCCTCCCATTGCTCTGCAGTGATTTGATGAGTATTTTTAAGGAAGAATCCAAAGTACCTCGTTGTGGAATTGAGACAATACATTGAAATACTGCCCACAAAGACTTGACTAGTTGTCATGTCAGGAGCCAGTGAAGAGATAAGTCATTCAGCTTGATAGGGCAGGTGTGTGAACAGCTTCTCACTAGCCTGTGCTACAAGCACAGTAAGATGTAGCACATTGTTCACCTTCCCGCAAGGTGGAGAAGAGGAATTATGAGGTAACTGCACCACAAAGTCAATATATGGCAAAACTTCAGCTCTCTAACCTTAGACACATAAGCAATTAACTCTGTCTGAAAAGGTCAGAGTCAGCAGCGCTGGGCTCCTTTGACAAGTAAAGCTGCTGAACACCATTCTGCTTAAATAAGAAATATCTGTGGCTGTATTAGTCAGCACGTTATTTACACTTCCTTGCGTTTATGTATGACATTCTTAAATTTCAGGTTTCGAATACCCTTTACTGTCCAAAATAACAGGACAGAGAATGTTAGCAAGCTCCAGAATGAATGGGTGTCTCTCATAGAAAGGTACTGTCAGCTGTGCAAGGGTGCCTCGCTGCCTCAGGAGGGATCTCAAGGATGCATCTCCTCAGAAGCTGATTATGAGGATTTTACTGTACCTCTGAACGAACAGAAAGAGGAGGCTCTCTACGTTTGTGTGAGTTCTACAACAACCAGTCTGAACAAGTCTTCAAGACCTCAGACAAAGCCCGCAGAGGGGGAAGCAGCCCCAGCATCACCACCTCTTCCACTTCCCATAAGTAAGGCAGAGGTACCACCAGCCCCACCTGCATTCCCACCACCCTGCAGCCTCTCTCCATCAACAAAGAGAACCAAAGCCTTTCACTGGGATGTTGTTCCTTGTGATAAGGTGAGGATGAAACTGATGGTAGTTGTAAAAGGAGAAAAAAAAAATTGTAGCCTGTATTCCATGTATAGTTATCATAAAAGTAGAGCTGTGCCACAAAACAGCCTGGCTGCCCTTCTGTATGGATGGAATAAAGCACCTCTGTTCTTTTGGCTTTTTGTTTACCCTGTCGCTCCTATATTTTTAGATTCAAAAATCTGTCTGGGGATCATGTGACCCCTGCAAGAAAAAAATAGATGTATCCAGACTCTGTGATGAGTTCCAGATCCAGGACATGGCAGTATTTTTGGGCAACGAACCTTCAGTGAATCAGCACATCATGTTAGATCGAAAAGTTGCACATAACTTCAGTAAGTGTGTTAATAAGAACTGTGTACTCCTATCTGGAAGCCTGGGGTGAGCATTGCATGCATTTTCTATTTGTACTTTCTACCATTCAGTAGGCAATGAGACAAGCTTGTGTCTAAATCATCTTTTGATTCAGTGCCCCTCTGCTCACTTATAAAAATAGACCTCATGGCTCAGTTGCTCAATATGTGGTCCTTAATGATGTAGAGTAGAAGCACCAAGCTTCTCCTCTTCTTTTACAAATGGTGTGGATGTGCAATTGAGCTGTGATGCTGTTGCCTTAGGGCAAACATGTAAAATCATGTATGACACCTCTGAAGTCAATGTTAAGACTCTTTCAAATGGGCTTTTCAAATTTTGTGGGCTGTCCAGGTGAAGCAAGTCAACAGAAATAGCTTGGTAGCTAGAACTTTGAGTACTGTGCTCAGTCTCTCTCCTACATTGAGTTCAGGAATATTCATGTAGGAGTAGATGGGTTGGTGTAAGAAGCCTTTGAGGCAGCTACAAGCCAGGTTGCAGGAACCTCTTGGCTTTTGTCTGGCTGATAGCTGAGACCATGAATGGCCGTCTTGAATGATCATGAACAGGATCCTTCCCTCTCATATCCCAGATATGATTCTGCCAAAGGCCTGACCGAGAACGGTCTTTCACAGCTAATGAAGCTGCACATAATTCTGGTCTTACTAATAAAAAGATATAAAGGTCTTTCAATTACTTTGATGAGACGTTGTAGATATGAGAGGAGCAAGGCTAATTGTTCTTCAAAGATTACCCTGAGTTCTATTACAGAGATGGCTTTCCAAAAAAGTTCTATAACCTAGTGATGTTTTAAGAAATGTTACCTGTGTAAAGAATTTGGGGCAGCTCATTTTTAAGTTTTAATGATTCATCTTTATGAATATTGATAACTTGATTGTGTAAAATTTTAATTGGAAACTGTAAATTAAGATAACTTGTTGGAATTATTGCATCTGTTGACTAAAAATCTGAAGGGTTAAAGGGAAATGAGGATACAAAAGTGCTATTGCAGATAAAAAGAATCCTGTAATAGCACTTTTACCTACTAAATTATTGCAGTTTCTCTGAGGGAATGTCTGTCTTTTAGTTTGCAAATAACACCATTCTTCCTTTTGATCATATTCCTCATAACTTTTTTCATTGAGACATTCTACATCTGTTTCTTTATCTTATCCTTAAAGTCCCATCAGTGAGATTTTTGGCATATACTTATTATAATGGACATTACTTAGATCAAAAGTTAATTTGATCCTGAGAATTCTGATTAATCTTCCTGCAGGTGCTGCAAACCACAGTTCTTAAATTAACGAATAAAAAGATGAAACTCCAAAATAGCAGTAGGTTAAAATTTCTTGAGAATTTGAGTGGGTTTCTGAACACAAGAGAAAAAGAAGAGTTCCAAGAGAAGATCTACACTTTAAATTCAAGCCCAATGTATGAAAAAATGCAAATAAAACCTAAGCTGTCTAGTGGATTCTTGTAGACAAAATACATTTCTGCCATACAGAGAACAGGTATCAGAAAGAGAGATAAGAGAAACTTCCTCAGATTTCCAATGAAAAAGTTTCGGGAGACACTATAATGTATACGTTTATCCAAGAATGTGGGATCTAGTGGGTGAAAAAGTGATTTAGGAGTCAAAATACCAACTGCTTTGACTTGATTGGTATCTGTTTCTCTGTATGAGACACAGTTTCCCATATATACAATCCTTATTTTGCCTAGGAAAATACTTCAGCAAAGTCTGATGACTAGAATTTATTCAGCGGCTAAATTCAACTACTGAAAACGTTCAAGAAAATATTAATTTCTTTGTAGACAGGTTGTGAAAATTTTAAAATCAACATTTTATTATGAGTTATTCATTCTGTTATGGTCTATAGACATCACCATACCTGAAGAGATACATGGTTTAAAAGGCATGGGGAAGCAAAAGATATAAGGCATGAAAAGCATAAGAAGGAAAAAGGGAAGATTCTGCCAGGCTTAGCACTAAAGCTAGATCTTATAACAAAATTAAAAGGGTGGAAAGTGTGTCAGAGGAAGAATAAATGGTATATACTCCATTGGCCAACAGTCTCCTGAGCACCATTAATAGCTGATTTGGACCACAGCAAGTTCCTATAACCTGAAAAACCCTGTTCCTTTTTAGAACTGGAGAAAAAAAAAAAGGTAGCTCATACACATCTTTCCTGAATTCTCCTTCCCAATTCCCTTGTGCTGCTCAGAGGAGTTCTGTTGTAGCAGAGACTCTAGGACAAGTTTCATGCCAACATTGAGAAGCATTTAAACCTTTTTTGTTTCTCTGCTGATGCCCCCTGTTTACTTCCTTATGCTTCCTTTTTTACCTTCATCCTTCAGTAATGATGATGAAGACAGACAGTAATTAAAGAATAACTGGCAAAACAAAGCAATCTTTCTGGGAGCAACGGCCTTACGAATGGTTCTTCACCTGTTTGGGGAAGAGACACCTTGTTTCTAATTTCCTATCATAATGCATATTATGAGCCAGCCCCATGTCAACACAGAAGTCTTAAACATTACAAAAACTCTTTATGAGATTTTAGAGTACCAGGCAGTATAGAAGTGAGCACTTCTCTTTCCCAGGCTGCCTTCATTTTGGGAGCAATTTTTCTTGCGTGGACTCTTCCTACCTTCTTTTGAACCCTGGAAATTAGACAAAGCAAGTAAACAAAATCAAAACAAACAGAAAATTTAATTTTTTTAACCTTTAAAATGTTATAATATGTCAATTCATTGTATTGCTATTTGGAAAAAAATAAATTTGTCTGTTGACCCTGAGTACAAGAGAAATAGATGTGAGCAAGTACTTGAGTACCTTCTGACAACAGTATCTTGATGGTTCAGTCTTAAGCATTGTCTGTGTTCTGACAGAAATATATTTTTGCTTCACTACTGCTATGTATGTTTAAAGAAAATATGAAGACTGAGTTTTTGCCTTAGCATTAGCAGTTACTAAGTGTTCTGGTTGGTTTTCTTTTTCTTTTTCTTTTTTCTTAACTCTGGAAAGTTTTGGTGATTTTTCCTTCCCTTCAGCATTTTCTTCCAAGTAATCTAAGAATCATTTTCCTCCAGACATTTTTCTTAAAAGTTTCCGCATAAAGCCAAGCGAGCTGAAAGAAAAACTATACATTATACATGAAGAGAGTGGTGGACTTACAGATGAGCAGATTACAGCACTAAGAAGGTAATCTTTGGGGTTAATTTGTTTGTTTACAATATATGCTACCTTTTGGAGAAGGCATAATCTTCTGCAAATACTGTGAAGTTCAGGAAAGATGCTACTGAGACATTGGATCTGTCCTGTGAATAGAATAATAGGGTTGCAGACAGAAATCTCAGTCCTTGCAACTGAGATTTTAGAGTATGTCCCCCAAATATCACTTTTCCCCATGTGTAGGAAAGGGGATTGCAAGAAATGGCAGCAAATCTGACATGATTTTGTGAACTAGTTACAAGGAGCAGAGTTTGTAAAAGAATAAGTTGTGTCAGTGAGCAGGTATAACTTGATGAGAAAACTTTACAACACGTCTTATCTTAGCCATATCGTCTGTGGTGGGATCAGAAACGAAAGACTGAAAATTGGTTTGGAGAGGAGGAAGGCAGACAAGTGTTAAAGGAGCTTCATGGGATGATGGGATATTAAGAATATCAGTATTTCTGAGTGGCAGAGATTTGTGGGTTTAAAGCAGAGTGCAAATTTCTCTATCTTTAAAAAAAAATGAATTACTGTATTGAGAAAAATAGATACCAGGAGTGTAAGAAAACTGTTGGCACGTGAAATTTGTAGGAGCTGGACTGTATATCTTTAAATAGTTTAAGACACATAAAGAAAGGAACAAGTGGGATCCTAGAGTAGTTTCCGTTATACATCCCAGTCCCCATGTGATACTTGGGACATTTTATTAAACACATTTTTATGAAAACTTGATGTGAAACTGTGTTTTGCTTCAAAATGGGAAAAAAATGAGTGTTTTGCTAAAGTGTGCTTGGAAAAAGATGACGCTGGCAAAAAAAAGTGAGGAAGGAAATAATGGATGTGTTTACTTCTTGTGGAATTAGTTCAATTTTGGCCTTAAATCCTGATCCTAATCAGTACATGAACAGTAGAATCATGTCTGTACTTAGGAAGTGAAGTTAACAGGGAGAAACATAGAATTAATGTCATTCTGTGAGGTGGCTTGTACAGAGCCTGCCTGAATTATGAAGGGACATGGACAAGACACTGACTATTGACATGTTTTATATGTGCCAGTGTTCTGGAGGAAGTTTCCATGCTGCCCCAGTGCTTTACCAGTTATACCCCACAGTGGTGCAGAGCAAATTATGAGCTGGCAGAAGGTATGAGCCCCACTGAAGGTAATGGAGCTCCATTGCCTTTCAAAAGCTTACGTTCAAAGCACCGTAAAAAAATAAAGATCTTACTGCAGTACTGCAGTTTTTAATTGCAGTGATGGAATTGGTCAGGAGATAACTGCAGTGAAATGCAGGCTTGGGGATGAGTGGCTGGAAAGCTGTTTGGCAGAGTGGGATCTGGGGGTACTGGTCGGCAGCCAACTGAATATGAGCCAGCAGTGTGCCCAGGTGGCCGACAGGGCCAACGGCATCCTGGCTTGTATCAGGAGTAGTGTGAGCAGCAGGACCAGGGAAGTCATCCTTCACCTGTACTGGGCACTGGTGGGGCTGCTCCTAGAATGCTGTGTTCGGTTTTGGGCCCCTCACTCCAGGAAGGACATGGAGGGGCTGGAGCATGTCCAGAGAAGGGCGACGAAGCTGGTGAGGGGTCTGGAGCATAAGGCTTATGGGGACCCACTGAGGGACCTGAGGGTGTGCAGCCTGGAGAGGAGGAGGCTGAGGGGACACCTTATCGCTCTCTACAACTACCTGAAAGGAGGCTGTAGTGAGGCGGGGGGGTCAGTCTCTTCTCCCAGGTAATGGGCAATAGGATGAGAAGAAATGGCCTCCAGGGCAGATTTAGGTTGGATATTAGGAAAATTTTTTTCACTGAAAGGGTTATAGGGCACTGGAATGGGCTACCCCGGGAAGTGGTTGAGTCCCCATCCCTGGAGGGATTTAAAAGCTGGGCTGACGAGGTGCTTAGGGACATGGTATAGTAGTGGGCAGGTGTGGTTGGCCTCAGTGATCTTAAAGGTCTTTTTGAACCAAATGATTCTATGATTCTATGGAATGTCTTTGACATGTGGTGTGCTCCCCAGTTACACATGCACAGCAGAATGCTTGGGGTCTGGCCAGCCCTGTTTACGAGGGCAGCCTCTGCTCACACTTTTTGAAGAAAAACACTGAATGCACTCTATTGTTCGAGCCCTAACACAGCACTGCGGATTCAGTCCAGGATCTCCACACTGTCGAAATTGGTGTAACACCACTGGGATCGCTGATTTATAGTATCTGGGCTCTTTGCCATCAGACGATAATAATAATAATAATGATGGCAATGAAGCTTGAAAGATTTTATTTTTTCCTTGAAGATTTCAGAGTCTTCCTTTGATAGCAATAATGCTGAGGAAATTTTTCTAGCAATGGAATGTGTAAGAGATACTGGATGCTGTATTGTTATATGCTATATAGGATCAAGGATTCTGTTCCTGGGATTCTTATTTACTGCCAAAATCTAGGAATGCATGTACGAATCTTCTAGAAAAAGGAAGCTAATTTTTTCTACCCCAACAGTTTTAAAAGTGTTACTGAAATAGATGAGATGCATTTCAGAAATGAGGGTTGGATTTCCAAGGCAGTTCAATGTCTTGCCAGTGCTTATCACACAGAATCACAGAATGGCAAGGGTTGGAAGGGACCTCGAGAAATCATCTAGTCCAACCCTCCTGCTAAAGCAGGTTCACCTAGAGTATGTTGCACAGGACATCATCCAGGCGGGTTTTGAATATTTCCAGAGAAGGAGACTCCACAACCCCCCTGGGCAGCCTGTTCCAGTGCTCTGTCACCCTCAAAGTAAAGAAGTTCTTCCTCACGTTCAACTGAAACCTCTTACGTTTCAGTTTGTGCCCATTGCCCGTTGTCCTGTCACCGGGCACCACTGAGAAGAGTCTGGCTCCATCCTCATGACTTCCACCCTTAAGATAGTTGTATGTGTTGATGAGGTCCCCTCTCAGTCCTTCTCTTCTTCAGGGTGAACAAGCCCAGCTCTCTCAGCATTTCCTCATAGGGGAGATGCTCTGTCCCCTAATCATCCTTGTTGGTCTCCTCTGAACTCTTTCTAGGAGTTCCTCATCTTTCTTGAACTGAGGAGCCCAGAACTGGACACAGTCCTCCAGGCCACACTACTCTTAATGCACCCCAGGATACCATTGGCCTTCTTGGCAACAAGGGCACCCTGCTGGCTCATGGTGAGGTTGTGTCCACCAGGACTCCCAGGTCCCTCTTGGCAGAGCTGCTTTCCAGCAGGTCAGCCCCCAGCCTGTACTGGTGCATGGGGTTCAACCTCCCCAGGTGCAGCACTCAACACTTGTCCTTGTTAATCTTGAAACACCAGCACTTGGAAGTTTCTCTTGTTCAATGCTCTGTAGTGGACTTGGCATGATACAAGTAGCAGAGCACTTAGCACATTTGAAGACCTTTCCACTTGATTTAGGTGTCATGGTGGAAAATTTTACTGTTGAAAACTGTGGCCTCCAGTTAATTGAGAACCTGTGGTTATGACAGGAGTTTAAACAGGATAGTCAGGGGCTGGAAAATTCCTCTCTGTGCAAATCATACCTGTCATACTGTCTAAGCCTGAGCAGGAAGGCTACATTCTACTATTATAGAATGAAAAATATTTAAAGCCAAAACCAAGATTACATTTTCAAGACTGTGATCAGTGAGCAAAATGTTCTGCTCATGTATCCAGTGAAGGTTAGTGGAGGTGGTGGAATATTATTAGAAACTTCAGGACTTATTTTGATATGGAAACCTTTCCGTAGTTCTTTAAATGATTCTTTGTCCTGACATCTTAAAATCAATAGCAAAGCACTCTTTGTCTCTATAAACTTAATTTTTCAGAACAGTGTGAGATCTCTTGTTGCACAAATTCCATTGGAGTTGCCTTAATGTAAAAAGATATTTATGGAATGCATTCACATATTCTTGTGCCTCCTTTTCCATGGCTTCCATTGTTTAATGCTTTAAGCTTTAAACCTTCTAGATAATCTGCTAGTTTCATTTCATACACATAATGCATTAAAACAATTTGATGGGATATCGGACTTCTGATTAAATGAAGATATTTGCTGTCAGCTTTAAAAAAAAGTCCTTTGAATTTGCTTAAGAAGTCAAACTATTTTTAATGATAAATACAAAAACCTTTCAGTTGTCAACAGATAACTTATTTTTAAATGAGAATTCATTTTTTTTCTTGATGATGGAGGGTGATGAATGGAATATTTTGTAATCTGCTTTAATACAGATTTAATAATTCAAAACCCAGCAATTATTCAATTGAAATGTCCTATTAAATTATTGACAACAGTAAAAAAACCTTATTGTTTTTCCTGTATTTAACATGCTACAATCTTTGCTTTATTTTTTCCATCTTTGAATAAATTTCCTTACTTTTAATGAAAATGTATATCTATCCCCTTGAAAGTATAATCACAGTTGCTACAAATTAACTAGGTTGTTTGCAGAGAAAGAAGAGAAAACAGTACACCTGAATACTGCAGAGTCTTAACACTCCTCCTCATATGTTAGCGATAACATCTATTTCATTTTTCTCAAGATATGCTATGAATTCCCATAGTGTACCAGTCAGACAGGCAGGAAGATCTCCAAAGGAGGGGAACTGTGGCGGTACGTTTATTTTTCCAAGTGGAGGCATGTTTAAAGACATCATTTTTTTAAAAAATCTGCAGCTCTGGAGTACTGTGGGGGAATATTCTGTTACCTTGTGCAGAAGGAAGAAAGTTGTGGGTCTGTGTTACAGGCTATCATAACAAAAATGAGAAATGGATCTTGGATGTGATGCAGTGCTTAGAGAGACAGAAATGTCATTGCCCCCTCTTGTTTCACGGGCAATTAAAAAAGTTTTAGAGGTAGGAGTCAGTCAGACTGCGGGGCCCACTGGTTAATCATATCACAGCATGAGACTGCTCTGCTTTTGTGCTAATTTCTCAAAGAAGTTGTTGCTGGAGAGGAGCTGAGCCAGCATGGCCATAACTGTTCAAAAAGCATATATTGTTTCTAGCTGCTTTGGAAAGGTTGTCAGGTATGTTCATCCAATCAATGAAAACAAGGCACGTTATGTATCAAGCACAGAATTAATGAACCTCTTCAGAAATTATGGCCTTAACTCCTCTGTCTCATGGTTTTACTTCTTCCAAAACAGCCCATGCTATTGTAAATTGTCTGTAGATCTGCAGGTGAATGCTAGTGACCGTTATTTTCAAGCCTTATATATATATTAGCATTTCCAGATATGCAGATGTATCTGCCAATCGATTTTGCTTTCCATCACATAGTTGGCTCAAAGGTTGATGAAGTTCCAATGGTTAAAGAATAAATATGCAATATGTAAAGCACACTAAACAGTAAGAAATTCTGATGCATGGAATTAAATAATTAAGTGATTGTTTCATGCTACAACAATATACAATGAAGAGGAAGAAGACATCTAATTTCCATTTGCTGTTTTACAGATACATGCCAACACCAAAAGACGCAGAAAAGTACCAGTCATTCAAGGGGTCTCCTTCAGAGCTGCATGTGGTTGATCAGTTTATGTTAGAGGTAAGAAGGTACAGCATTAAAAGACACCATACGTTATTTCTAGGACACTCTCTTCTAGATAAAACCAGTACAAGAAGATGTTGTTTGGAATTTAAATTTACAGTTGCAGCCAGAATCAGTATAAGAGGATTTATCTGATAAAGAGATGAGGCAGGTAGATATTATGAAGAGAACTCTATGGATCCCTTTACATCTCCAAGTCACATGCCCTCCCCTTCCTCCACCGAAGGAGCTGATTTATTCTGAGATAGATTTCCAAAATCTATAAGCATGAAATTGTATGCATTTAACCGTTCTTGTTCACAAGAAATGAGTGTCATTGATTTTAATGAGGCTTGGCCCTACTAGCATACAGCATCTTCTTGAATTTGCATGTGCAAAGGATGCATATTCAGATATGTGCCATAGTATATCTACAGACTTAAGGCCTAGAATAAAATTAATAAATGAGCACAAAGATTAGGAAAACTACGGTGCAGATAAATTGCTCAATAAATTATGAAAGATATGTGCATGTTTTGGTATAAACATGGGGTTTGATTCCTTTTCTGTTCAATTCTACGCAGATGTGTAAAATCCCTTACTTAGGCCAGAGGTTGGATCTCCTGCTTACCATACGTGAGCTCCCTGTGAGCATGAGAGATTTGGAGCCTGTAAGTAACATGACTTGTTCACAGTGTGTTTGTAATCAAAATCTACCAGTTAGATAGTAGAGGGCCCAGTGACCTCAAAGCTATCTAGTTGTGGAGGGTTTGGGTTGGGTTTTTTCCTTTTTTTTTCTGTAGCAAAATATTTCACAGTCCATAATATGAGCAATTCATTGTGTAATAATCCAGGCAGCCTAGTGTACGAAAAAACCATTTCACGGCACTGTTCAAAAGTCACAAGCAAAAAGGTGAAAAAAATTTCATAGAATCTCTACAGGTCATGGCTTTGATAGCTGGGGAATTGTAAATGACGTGAAGCTGTTAGAGACAGGCTGCGTTTGAAATCAGCTGGTGCATTTGCAATGTTTTGGGGAATCCAATTCATTTTATTGTGTTTTGTTAATGATGGAGTTCCACAGTACTGGTTCAAAACAAAACACAGTAAAGTAACTGGATACAAATGAGGGCTATGATACACATGTATATACATGTATGTGCATTTAATATCATCCTTATTCCACTAAGGTTCAAGAAGCAGTTGCTAATGGGCCTGGCAGTGGAATAGAGGGAGAAAAGAACAGGAAGGGATTTTCAGATTTTTTATTTGGTGGTGTTAAACTTTCCTCTTTCTTTGGCCAGTGATAAGACACAAGTACATTTCACCATTAAAATTCAATTCCTTTTAAGGGGGATGTTCGTGGCCCACAAGCTGAAAGAATCAATCTAAAGTCACAGATACTTAGAGCAAGTTTATTTGACCGGCATCTCATAGACATTTACTATTTTTAGAAGACTGAAGGAGGCTGTTCACCCTGAGTACTACAGCACTGAATAGAAAGATTGCAAACCAGAGTTCAAGTCCCTCTCTGCCTTTTTCAGGATGACCTAGGGGTGGGGGGATGCAAATAAAGAATGTTCCAGTCTCGTGGACTGGATCTTCCTGTTCCAAACTGCTGCCTTACCTGCCAGGGTTTGTATATGCTTTGATTCAAAACAAAGTATTTCAACATGATTCTGTTTCTATGAAAATGCTTCAAAGGTTTTGCTCTCATTCTGCATGGGAGTGAAAACAAAATTTAAAAGTTCTGCAAGTCCGGGTTGTTACCTTTTGTCTGGCTGTGATTAAAACCATAGTAACAGTGAACAAAACTCAGAAGAGGAACAGATGGAAAACACCGGGGAGATGCACAGATTTCTGACCCTGCCCAGTGCAATGTTACACCTTTGCTGTCCTCCACTGAAACCAAATATTTGATTATTTGGAAGCTATTATATATATGCTGTTTGCTTTGACAGATATTTAACATTCATTGAAGAGCTGATCAGTTGTCTAAGTATTTATGCGCGCGTTATGCACTTATGCACGCTAACACACGTTTGTAAGCCATAGATTATACACCTAAAATTCTATGGGACAACCTGAATACTGGCTTTCAGCATCCTCTGGCCCTGTGATGTGCTATAAATATTTTAACAAGGCTTTCAGTTCTCCTGTGTGTTTAATCCTTTCCCTGTTTTCAAATTTGTGTGTTGGTGACTGATGAAGAGAGGTGTGGTGCTAAAAAAATTATACATTTCCTAATTTATAACAAACCCGCCTCTTAGTGTATAGCCCTAGAAGGGAGGTGGCTTCCCTGGGAAAACAGAAATTGATACTGAGTTTGATTACAGGAAGTTATTATTCTTCCTTGTGGGGAAACTGTGCTAAGAATTTTGATAAGATAACAGTCTTCAGCTGGTATAAACAGAAGGGAGGGAGGTGAAGGATGGAGAACCTTACACTGCGCTTCAGGCTATCTGCTTCCCCTGATGCCTGACATTTGGTGCAATCTGGTGCATTCAAACAGCAAAATACTTTTTCTTCAGAAGCATTTGTAAGAGATGAGGTTGAAGTCATTTTGGCAGGGCTGGTTTGGCAGCCAGAAAGGATGTGACCTCCATCAGGGGCAGGTTAACTGTGCCAACACCAGCTTTATCTTGGTGGGAGACTTTTAACTGGTCCTTCCTGAAAACCCCTGGGCCTGCTCCCCCAAGGAAGTTGGAGAGGAAGGTATCCATCAGCTAAGGAGTGACTTGCTTCAGGTGGGGACAATGAGGCTTTTGGCAAAGGGAAGGTATAGGTGCCATTGTTTTACTCACATTTTCCATTCGAACTGAAGGAAGATTTGTGTGTTTCAGCTAATAAACCAGAAAATCCAAGCGAGTAAGCAGCTGCAATCCAGCCAGAAATTTGTTGGTGTCTTGGAGTACATTTTAGCCATTGGGAACCATTTAAACGAAAAGGCTGGAAAAGAGAAGGCTAAAGGATTTCGGTTGTCATCTTTGACCAAAGTGAGTAAATATTTTTCTTGTCATTAGAATCATCATATTCTAAGGTACGTTAGTCATTAATATTAACCCAGCTTTGCCCTGAATGTGGAGAAAGGCAATCATTTTTAATGAGTAGCTAACATTTTAACATCCGCTGTTGGTTACACTAGAAACAAAATCCTGTTTAACAATGTATTCTTTCATGTGTGTTATAACAAGATGCATTTCCCCATTTTAGACAGCAGCACTGGCTAGATGGGGGCATTGGGGTGTTGAACATGCTGCATTTCTAATGAGGTAGAACATCAAAATGCTGACTGCCCTGATATTAAGATCCCCTGGCTAGAAGAGGCACCTGAGCTGCAGGCCCCAGGTTAGACGCAAGTTTAGGTAAACTGTATTTTGCAGTTTTGTGCAGAACACTGTTGTGTGGAACCTCCTCATTTTACTGTGGTCAGAGGCTGTAGCTACAGCATTTCTTCCATAGCAGTTGCACTTTTATGGCACTGGAGTAATTTCTTAGCGCTCCATTTTATTCTTATGTGAAGATATTTCGCAACAAGTGGTACAATGCCATTTTAAGGTAAAATTTCAAAAGCAGAATGTAAATAAGTTAATAAATCCAAAGGGAGTGAAATTTCCCTGCAGTGGTTTAGCACACACACACCCCCCACCCCTCATCATTGCTCTGCTGGATGATTGAACGGGATGAAGGTGGCAGTTGTGATCTTCACTCTGTCCTGATAGAGGTGTGCTCTACAAGAAGATCATCTAACTCTTAGCTCTTTAATTGTCTCTTCATTGACCTACCATTTGTGTGACATTAGGCTGAGTTTTCCATTAGTTTTAAAGAAATTGCTTTCCCCTCTTCATCAGAACTTGCCATCAGAAAATGCTGCTGCTGAGCACAGGGTTTCCTCCCCCACATACACCCGACAGTGGCAGAGCATTGTACTCTTATCCTAAAAAGTAAGAAATAGATACATATTTCCTAAGCTGCCTTATACCTTTAACACTATTGTAAGATTATCCCTGATCTGTGAATAGAAGAGAGAAGGGTTTTTATTTTGTTTTTGTAAGGTATCTTTCCCATCTGGATACTTTAATATATGAGTGAGTGATTTATAACTCCAGTGACAATTCTGAGACACAACTTGCATTCTTTTTTTTTTAATATATATATGTAATGGCTGTAATACCACATCTATCATAATGAAAAATGCCTACAAAATAATTTTCTGCCACAGAGCATCTTCCCAGATTCAATTAAGGAACTTTACTATCTTCATGAACACAGCACACTGCTTTAAAGTGGAAAGGAATAATGACTGTGTTTGGAAGTCCAAAATCAGTTGCAATCAATTAGGATACCTTAAGTTAAAAAAGACCCCTGTGAATAAGAAGACACAAAAGAACAAGGAAGGTCAACGGATATGAAAGTGTAGAGCTGATCTTAATCAAGAATGTTTGAAATGGCAGATTGAAAAGGAGAAGTTTAATTTCATTGTGTTTTCTATTCTTGTCAAATTTACCTGGGAGCTATCAACATCCCTGCTGTTTCTTTTTCTTTTTTTTTTTTTTTGTTTTTTTTTAAAGTATAATAGCTCAGTCTGTCAATTATTGCTCTATTCTATTTGCAGTTACCTCTGTTGCGGGGTAAGGAGAGGACGTTCACCTTGCTTCACGCCCTTGTGGAACAGATCTTCTTACATGAGCCTGATTTGGCTAAATTTTCGCAAGAGTTGACAGAATTTGAAGCTGTTCCTGATGGTAAGAGGAGGGAGGGGAAAAAAAATCAACAAATAAAAAAAATGAAGTCCTTCAACTTTTGTGGAAACTCCCATCCTCACAATACGAATGATACTTATTAGCATTTTTTCCCCTCTCTCTTCCTTTCCAGCTTCCATGAAAGGCCTCAGTGCTGAAGTTGATGGTATGTAAATGTGGTTTCTAAATTCAGAGAAAGATTTTCATATGTTGTGCAGTCATTTGGAACAGGTTTTCATTGCACTTCTGTAGTTTGTAAAGAGAGGTAAAGGTTCAAAACATTGAGGTAAAGTGTTGCTATGGTGATACTTAACCTGCCGTGTTACTGTGAAGAACTTTTAAAAAAGAAATATTAAAGTGTGTCCAGGTGGTTTAGAAATATAAAAAATATACTGCCCATGGTAAATAGAGCTTATCATAAACTACAGATGTTACGTGATACAAGTGCTCTGTCAAAGTTACGGCTGTAGCGGACTCTCCGGAAGCAGGCAATGCAGCAGAAAACTTCCTACAGTTCAGTCCTGAAGTTCAAGAATTTCTTTGAATCAAACTGGTGTCCTTCCCTAGAAAGGAGTTCAACACTAGTGAAGTCAACAGGAGGGAACAGAATAAGGTTATTCAAATGTGTTGTGGCTTAACCCCAGTTGGAGGGTTAACCCCACACAGCCACTCGCTCCCCCTCCCTGCCAGTGAGATGGAGGAGAGAACTGGGGGGAAAAAACCCACAAAAACCAATGGGTTGAGATAAAGACAGTTTAATAGGACAGCAGAGGAAAATTATAATAATAATGATGAAAGAATACACAAAACAAGTGATATGCCATGACTTGCTGATGCCCATCCCATCCCCCAGCAGAGATTGCTGCCCCCTGGCCAACTCCCCCCAGTTTATACACAGAACATGACACCATACGGTCTGGAATAGC